GATTATTTGTGTCTTCTCCCTCTTTTCTTTTGTGAGTTTTGCTAGTGGTGCCACAGCCTCTTCTAAATCCCACTTGAACTACTGGCAGTTGCCTATCTATACATTCTAGCTGTTTTTGAATTCTCTTCAGCGGTATTTTGCTTGTATGTCATTATTACTGATACTGTTTGACAGTTTCTATGTTCTGTTGGATCACCTTTCTCATATGTACCTCATATGGTAGGTACCTCATATGGTACTTCCTGAAATGTTTCAGTGTCATTCAAATCTTTTTGGTACTATAACTCTGTATTCCTTCTATCTTCTTTTGATGCTTCCTGGATCATTCAGCATATTCCCCATGGCATCTTTCATTATTGCAACTCAAGGCTTAAGTTTCATTTCTCTCAGCTTGAGAAATTCAGATGCAGAACTTACTGCATATTCCATTACAATATTTTGCTTTGTCTTTTTGAGCTACCCTTTGGAATCTTCTATTTAGATCTTTTACTTTGACATGTTTTCCCTTTATTTTGTCTTCTTTACACTCTAGAGAAATGTTCAGAATCTCTTCTTGACATCCACTTTGTTTTTTTATTTCTCTTCTGCCTTTTAATGACCTTTTGCTTTTTTCATGGATGATATTCTTGATGTCATCCCATAACTCATCTGGTATTTGATCATTCTTAAGATGAGTTTGAAATTCAGGTAGAATAAACTCAAGATCATATTTTGCTTCTTCTGGATTTATTTTCTTTGGTATCAGTTTGAACTTGCACCTGAGTGATAGTCTGTTGCATAGTCTGTACTGGCCTAGTTTTGACTACCGATATTGAGCTTGTCCAACGATTTTTTCCATAGATGTAGTCAATCTTATAAAGTATCCTTATATAAGAGCTCTGGTAGCACAGTGGTTAAGCATTTAGCTACTAACCCAGAAGCTGGTGGTTCAAACCCACCCAGTTGCTCCATGGGAGAAAGACTTTGTGATCTGCTCCTTTAAAGATCACAGCCAATAGTCAGTGGGACAGTTTCTATGTCATACGGAGTTGTATGAGTTGAAAACACAGTGGCATTGAACATTGCTAATATATCAAAGTAAAACAGAAAGTGAGATATACTTAACAAGTTAACAAGATTTCTTCCAAATCAGTGACATTTATAATAGATAACAGGTTGGTTGACATAGTGTAACATTTTTTCCTAAAATGTGTCTTTTCTTACTTTATATCTTTTCTTCAGGTGATCCATGCTCTATATTTTAATGTATTTATAATTCAATTTGGAGATATTTTGGGAGGCTAACTATGTCTCAGGCTAATTTATTTTATGTTGAAAGAAAATGTTTACTTTTAGTCTCATTTGTTTTATTTTTGTTCTTTTTCTTTCTTGTGTTTAGAAACAAAAAAACCATCAAGAATCTCTCCCGCTTAGTTGTCCGCCCCCATACAGATGCTGTTTACCATGCTTGCTTTTCTGAGGATGGTCAGAGAATTGCATCTTGTGGGGCTGATAAGACCTTACAGGTAAAACATGTCTCTTAGGACCAGAGTGGCATGTACCTTGCACAGTATGGATTAGAGTGTGTTTAAAATCCTAAGATTCAAGAAAACTGTACACATTAGAAATAGCAGAGACAGCCAAATTTTATTAGCATTTTATGGAAGTTTTCTCTTTGCATTTAAAGGCTTTTATGATGTACTTTCAGCAATCTTAACTCAATAGATGATATAGCAGTGCTTTTTGTCCTTGCAGTCAGTTATCTGTCACCCATTCCAGCAAGGGATAATGAGGAAATTGTTAAAAAAATCTAGAGGTATCACACTGTGCAAGGATGTGGTTGAGAAAAAAACAAAACCAAAACACCCCCAAAAGTAAATATCTACTTTTATAAAAGACTCAGGCAGAGATTACTGATGAAGTAGGCTTTTTAAAAGATTATTTCTTAATTCCTTTAAAGGAATTTCCTCTAAATTCTCATTTGTTTATAGAAAATGTGAATGAAAATCTTCCTTTAAATTTGTGCTTTGCCTTTTTTATCTTGAAGGACACAAGATCAAAGTAGTTAAAATTTTCATATTGAGTATAGTTTTTATCTTTTTAGGATTATGGCTGCATTCTTATTGTATGTGTACATCTCACAGTTTATTAGTAGTTGTGGCTTCTTAGCCCCCCAAAGCAATCATATTTCATTAAATATTTTCTCTTTGCTGTGAATCTGCCAAAACGTTCTCAGGAACTGAAGTTGAAACTATACTCTGCCACATCTCTTTATTGGTATTTACAAATATCTATCAATGAATATTTATTTATGTTAAGGCTTACAAATTACAGCAGACATCCTGATTTTAGAGTATTTTTTGCTAACATTTATTGCATATTTGCAAAATAATACAAATTAAGATGTTTAAAAGAAAGATTTTTATTGAGTATTTTAGGTGGTTTATAGGTTCTGTTGCTGTTATACAGGTGTTCAAAGCTGAAACAGGAGAGAAACTTCTAGAAATCAAGGCTCATGAAGATGAAGTGCTCTGCTGTGCATTTTCTACAGATGACAGATTTATAGCAACTTGCTCAGTAGATAAAAAAGTAAAGGTAAGAAAGTATTTTCTTGGTAGGTTGTGTATTCATAATTAGTTCTGCTAAGATTAGTAGCAGACCAGTTGTAAGACGTGTGGAGTCAGCAGTGTCCCACTGTTTGATTTGCTATATAGCTTCATGATTTCCAACATCAGCAGTCCTTCCTTTATTCTGTACCCTCATTCCTCTATACCCCTTGTGTTTGGTGGTTCACTGGAAGGTTTCCCATAGACTCAAACCCATCAGGGAAAATGACTCATTTGACTGCAGATATGTGGTCTTGTTTTGCAGATATTGTTGAGTGTCATAGACTTATCATTTGCAATACACCTTGAAAGCAGGCATCCCCCAAAGAGAGCTAGTTAGCATTTAGCTCTCAAAGATTTGCATAAGTCTTTAATAGGGTGGAGCTTGTGGCCCACTATAATCCTGTCTCCTTAATTCAATAAATACATCAATTCAAAATATATAGTTAATCAGTGGCCAGAGAAGACGTTTTGAACAATAAATCTTTGACACTACAGGTTGTTAACACATAGTTCTTTTTTATCTTTATTTAATGACATTAGTCAGTACAGCAAACTGACAGACAAGTGCTGTATTCATATAAGAGCAAGCAATAAACAAGCAAGCATATCTGTGTAAGAACTATAAAATAATCGACACCATGCAAATTACTCCACAGTATAACAAATTGACAGTTAAGTGTTGTAGCCCTAAGAGCAAATTATAAAACAAAAGCAAGTATTTACAAGTATCACTGATGCAGCAGTGGGCTAAGCCACAGGTTGCTGTGAAGTTAGAACGTATGCCACCAGCAGGGTCACCCATAATGGACAGATTTTAGCAGAGCTTCTTGGCTAAGACTAGGAAGCAGGATTGACCATCCACGTCTGAAATAATCCTTTAAGAACCCGATGAATAGCAGAGGAAGCAGCTAGTTGTAGTAATAGAAGCAGAACCCTCAGAGTGGAAGACACTCAAAATTGAGGTGAAGCAGCTGGAAACATCCATTAATAATTGGAATGTGCAATGTATGAATCTAGGAAAATTGAAGTTGTAATAATTTAAACAGAATGCGTAAAGATTGACGTTCTAAGCATTAATGAGCTGAGATGAACTGGTATTTGCCACTTTGAATCAGATAATCATGCAATCTATTATACTGGCAAATAAAAATTGAGGGAGAATGGTGTTGCATTCAAAGTCAGAAAGACCATTTCAAGGTTTATCCTGAAGTACAGTGTTGTGAGTGATAGGATACTGTACATATACATGCAGGAAAGACCTGTTAATACAACTCTTACTCATATATACGGACCAACAACTAATGCCAGAGATGAGGAAACTGAGGATTTCTACCAACTTTGGCATTCTTTTTTTTTTAAATTTTTCCCCCTTTTAAAAAATTAATTTTAATGAAAATTTACAAAAAGACTTGGGATATCCATTCATTCATTTTTTAATTTTTATTTATTTATTTTTTTTTGGCATTCTTAAATTGATTGTACATACAATGAAGATTCATGAATAATAATTGATGAGTGGAATGCAAAAGTTGGAAACTAAGAAGTACCAGTAGTCAAGAATTATGGAGTTGGTGACAGAAATGAGACTGGATGGTGAATGATGCATTTTGTGCAATCAGTGATTTATTTATTGCAGATAACTTTTTTGAAAAACAAGCAGTAACTATACACATAAGCCTCACCTGATGGACAACTCAGGAATCATATTGACTACATCTGTGGAAAGAAGTATTAAAGAAGGTTAGTAATAACAGCCTAAAACTGGAAAACATCATCAGTTAATCATGTCCAAGTTGAAATTGAAACCATAAGAAATGAAAAGTTCATAAGAACCAAACTTTGACCTTGAATCTGTCCCACCTGAAGTTAAAGACCAAGGCAAGCATAGATTTGAGATATTGAACACTTGTGAGCAAAGAACAAATGAAGTATGTGTTGACATCAAGGATATTATCCATGAGGAAAGCAAAGGTCATTACAATGACAGGAGAGAAAGAAAAGCCTAAGTGGATATTGAAAGAGACTCAGAAGATTGCACTAGAATGCTGAGAATGTAAAACAAAGGGAAAAAATGACAAGGTAAAGAAGTTGGGCAGAAGATTCCAAAGGGCAGCTCAAGAACACAAAGCAGGGTATTATAATGAAATGTACTGGAGTGAGAAAATGAAAAGAGAAGAACTTGTTCAACATTTCTCAAGTTGAAAGAACTGAAAAACAAATTCAAGCCTTGAGTTGCAACAGTGAAGGATGTTGTGGGCAAAATCTTGAATGATTCAGGAAACATCAAAAGAAATTAAAAGGAACACCCAGGGTCACTGTTCAAAAAGAATTGACTCACACAGCCATTTCAGGTGGTAGCATTTGGAAGAAGTCAAAGCTGCGTTGGAGGTACTGACACACACAAAAAAAGAAGTCCCAGGAATTGATGAAATATCAGTTGACATCTTTCATCAAGTAGTTGTAGGCCTGAACATTCTTTCCAGTCTATGTCAAGAAATTTGGAAGATAGCTGCTTGGCCAACTGACTGAGAGAGGTCTGTATTTGTTTCTATTCTTAAGAAAGGTGATCCAACATAATGTGGAAGTTACTGAACAATATCATTAATACCAAATTCACATAAAATCTTGCTGGGGAAAGGAAAAAAAGGCTGAAACAGTACATCAACAGGCTGGGTTCAGAATAGGCCAAGGCATGAAGGATATCATTACTGATAGATCAAGATTGTCACATGGATCTTGGCAGAAAGCAAAGAATAATGGAAGAATGTGTGTTGTATTTTATTGTTTATGCAATGCTATATGACTGAATTATAACAGATTAGGGCTTGGAAGCAGGAGTGGCATCCATTTCTGTAATAGCTTGCCTCCAGAAACCCTATGAACCTGGAGAGAGGATGAAAGACACCCAAGCATTGAGGACTCTCGTTCATACAGTCGCTATGAGTTGCCTGAGACTCGACGGCACTTAACAACAACAACAACAACAACAGGGCTAATACTTGGGGGGGAAAAAGAAATCCCAACATTATTATGGTTATGCGAAACCTAGACCAAAAAGCTTGTTTTTGGAAGAGGGAACACTGGTGATTCAAAATCAGGGAAGATAAGGTTGTAATCTTTATTCATACCTATTCAATCTGTATGCTGAGCTAATAAATTGAGAAGCTGGACTTTATGAAGATGAATGTGGCATAGGATTGGATTGGAGGAAGACTACTCAACAACCTACATTATGCAGCCAACACAGCCTTGCTTGCTGAAAGTGAAGAGGATTTGAAACATTTGCTGCAGATAAAAAATTACAGTCTTCGATACGGATAACATCTCAGTGTCAAGAAGACAGAAATCCTCACTGGAACCACATCATGGTAGATAAAGTTTGACATTGTCAATGATTTCATCTTATCCATAATCAACACCTTTGGTATGGTACTAGCAGTCAGGAAATCAGAGTGGGAAAATCTGCTATCACGGTGCTCTCCAAAATATGAAACAGCAGTGATGTCACTTTAAAGATTTAAGGTGCGCACCTGCTCCAAGCCATAATATTTTCAAGTATTTGCTATGCATCTGAAAGTTGAGCAGGCAGTAGGAATGGCAGAAGGTGCTTTTGAGGAGAAAATGCCTTTGAGTTGTGGTGTTGGAGAACACTTCTCAATATCTCATGAACTGACGATATATAAAATATGTCATGGAGAAAGTGCAACTAGGATGCTCCTCAGGCAAGAACTTTGTCTCTGGTGAAACATACTTGACGCATGTTTTTAGCAGGGGCCAGTCCTTGGAAAAAGACATGCTTGGAAAGGTGGAGGATCAGCGAAAGGAAGGAAGAACTTCAAGAAGAATTGATAAGTGACTGTGGGTGAATTTAAGTTGATGAGAATGGCATAGTATAGAATAAGGAATCTCAGATCAGATTCATAAATACATGATTTGTTAAATAACAACCTATATTTATTTGCCTTTATGAACTGATTGATACTCAGTACAAAAGTAGGTAAAGGAACAAACCAGCACTATATTGCTGTCTAAATAATAAATAGAAGAAAAAGAAAAAGGGATTCCATTTTTAAAGTTTTTCTTATCTCTTTTGTCTAAATTTATGTAAATATGGCAGTAAGGAGAAACTGAAGACCTGAGTGATTTTAGTTAGTTAGTTATTTTTATTGATGCATGGAAAGGAAACCTATCCAGGCTTTTTCAAAGGAGTTGTCAAGTTCTGAACTTGAATTGGAAGGGTGGGTTTGGTGGACTGAGAGTAAGAAAGTTTGTTTTAGAATTTTCCTGGAGTTTTGACTCATTTGACTAGGGCTGTGAAGGTCCATACTAAATAGATACCTTTGAAAGATCTACTTCTCAGTAGATTTGATTCTTTAAGGTTCTTTGTTGTTGTTAGGTACCATTGAGTTGGATATAACTCGTAAGGTCAGACCTGAACCCTGACCTATCCTGTGCCATTCTCATCATCTCTGACACACTTGGGCCTATTGCTGCAGTCACTGTGTCAATCTGTCTCATTAGGGATATACCTCTCTTTTGCTGGCTTTCCACCTTCCCAAGCATGATATCCCTCTCTGAGGAATAGCCTCTCCTAGCAACATGCCCAGAGTATGAGAGATAAAGGAGCACTCTGGCTGCACTTTTCCCAAGACATAACTGTTCTTTTGGCTGTCCATGAGCTATTCAGTATTTTCTTCAGCACCACAACTCAAAGACATCAATTCTTTTTCTATCTTTAGAAGAAGCCATTTATTTAATTCACCTTATAGACTTTGTTTCAGTTTAGATACTGAGCACACATTCTGAGAAGCTAGGCTACCAGAAGCAGATCTTGTTGTCAGGTTTGGAGGAAGACTTAACAACCTGTGATGAAAAGATGGCATAATGTTTCTTGCAGAAAGTGAAGAAGACTTGAAGTGCCTGCAGAGGAAGCTCAATGACGGTAGCTCTTGGTGTAGATTTCTATTCTTCAATATAAAGAAAACAAAATCCTTGCACTGGACCAGTAAAAACCATCATGATAAATGAAGAAAAAAATTGAAGTTAGTAAGGATTTTTTCAACTTGGTTTTATAATCAACACCCATCGAAACAGCTGTCAAAAAAATCAAATGACATAATTGCAACCCTCAAACCTGCCAAAGGAATTCTTTAAAGTGCTAACGATAGCTTTCTGCTCCTCGTCGATCCAGATTGCCCTTTCTTCCCATGCAGCCTCAACCGCATACCTGAGACATGATGGTGAAGGTTGGAGTAAAAGTATTTGGGCACTTGGTCGGCAGGGCTGCTTTTAACTCTAGCAAAGTAGATGTCGTCACCATCAATGATCCCTTCATTGACCTCAGCTACATGGTCTATATGTTCCAATATGATTCCACTCATGACAGGTTCAACAGCACTATCAAGGCTGAGAATGAGAAGCTGGTCATCAGTGGAAAAGCCATCACTATCTTCCAGGAGTGAGATCCCGCCAGTATCAAGTGGGGTGATGCTGGTGCTGAGTATGTTGTGGAGTTCACAGGTGTCTTGCTGGGGCTCACTTGAAGGGTGGTGCCAAATGGGTAATCATCTCTGCTCCTTCTGCCAATGCCCCTATGTTTGTGGGGTGTTAACCGTGAAAAGTATGACAACTCTCTCAAGATTGTCAGCAATACCTCCTGCACCACCAACTGCATGGCTCCCCTGGCCAAGGTCATCCATGACAACTTTGGCATTGTAGAGGGACTCATGACCACAGTCCATGCCATCACTGCCACCCAGAAGACTGTGGATGGCCCCTCTGGAAAGCTGTGTCTTGATGGCCGTGGAGCTGCCCAGAACATCATCCCTGCATCTACTGGTGCTGCCAAGGCTGTGGGCAAAGTCATCCCTGAACTGAATGGGAAACTTACTGGCATGGCTTTCCGTGTCACCACCCTCAATGTGTCAGTTGTGGACCTGACCTGCCGTCTAGAGAAAGCTGCCAAATATGATCAAGAAAGTAGTAAAGCAGGCATCAGAAGGGCCCCTCAAGGGCATCCTGGGATACACTGAAGACCAAGTTGTCTCCAATGATTTTAATAGTGACCCCCACTTTCCACTTTTGATGCTGGCCCTGGCATTGCCCTGCGTGACCACTTTGTCAAACTCATTTCCTTGTATGACAGTGAGTTTGGCTACAGCAGCCGGGTGGTCGACCTGATGGTTCACATGGCCTCAAAAGAATAAGAAGCCTTGGACCACCAGCCGCAACAATAGAACTAGAAGAGAGAGAGACTCTCAGCTGATGGGAAGTTCTTACCCCAACTTGATCCTCCCATACACTGAGAATCTCACATCCTTGACATAGTTTCCATCAAATCCCCCTAAGAAAGGGGAGGGGCTTGGAGAGCCTATCTTGTCATGTACCATCAATAAAGTACACTGTTCTTAGCAAAACAAAAATAAGTTGCTAACATTCAAGGGTGTCGGTTTAAAGATTAAGATGATCCTAACCGAGCCATGGGTATTTTCAGTCATTTCATATGTTACATGAAAGTTGGACAGTAAATAAAGGAGACTGAGGAAAATTTGTTGCCTTTGAATTGTGCTGTTGGTGAAAAATAATGCCGTGAACTTTTTAAAAAAAGAACAAATCAATCTGTCTTGGAAGGTGTACGGCTAGAACTCTACTTAGAAGTGAGGTTGGTGGGGTTTCATCTCACACACTTTGTGTTATCAGTAGAGACCAGGCCGTGGAGAAAGGAAGACATGCTTTTTAAAGTAAATCATGAAAAAAGATCGTCAGTAAGATGGATTTTTGGCTCTACCAATGGACCAAAGCACAGCAGAGGTTTTAAGAATTGCCCAGTCCTGGGCAGTGCTATCTTCTATTGCTTATGATGGTGCTACAAGTTGGCGCTACCCTAACATCTAACAACATAGGCCAGCCTTGCTGAGTCAGACGTGGAGTTGGACACTCTTGGCAGCTTCAGAGTCAGAACTGGCTCTTGCTTTTTGCCTCTGTGGGTTACTACTTGAATCTTAGTGTGTTTTAGAGAAGTGAAAATAAAAAAAAAAAATACTACACAAGGGATGTTTTATGTTAGTCCTGCTTTATTTAAGTGTTGGGAACTTTGTGGAGTAAAATGAGATTATACTGAGTTTCTATTTTCTGTGAAGTCAGAATATAAGGTGAGTGGCAGAAATACCTGTTGGAGATCCAAAGTAAGATCATGTCTTTGGACTGCGGGGGATTCTAATAAGCACTTGGATGAGATAGATACAAAGGAAATGCTATGAGAGGAAACACCTCTAAAGTGTCAGAATCTTAGTGGAGATACCTTAGGCTGTTTCTTTTGTTTGTTCCTATGTAGAAGAGGTGGGTAACTGTATTTTATGCACTTAACCTGCACATTATATGGTTTCTGCAAACTATGCAGCAAACTTGCATGTTACTTTCCTGTGCGTCAGTGTATATTATTTACAGGGGTATATTATAGGTGACAACACGTTGGTTTTCTTACATATAACTATAATGATGATAACTATATTTGAAAACAATAACTAGAATGATGAAAATTATATTTTCTTGAAACCCGAACATGGTACAAAGTCTTGGATAAAATTGTTCAACTTCATCATTGAAAGTCCGTTATGTTATCCCCTTTATAGTACTTTTACTGTAGGTAGAGGAATATATGAAATCTTGTCCTTGAAAAAAGTTTTCATGAGATTCTAATTATGCTGTAGAAAAACACACATTTAGACTTCCAAGTAAATTTTTTAAAGCCCGTTACATAATATACTACTACATTTTCGGTGAGGGAAAGGTATTCGTTACCATCTTGTTCAATTTGAAAATCACTGGCATGACAGGTTAGGTAGCATTTGAACAGTCATTTACATTTGCCCCCCCCCCCCCCCCGGCTGTTTTCCTTTGAAAACAAACAGAGGTTGGTTGTACATTTTGTGTTCTCGATTCTCTTTAGATTTGGAATTCTGTGACTGGAGAGCTAGTACATACCTGCGATGAGCACTCAGAGCAGGTCAACTGCTGTCATTTCACCTGCAACAGTCATCACCTTCTCTTAGCCACCGGGTCAAATGATTGCTTCCTCAAAGTAGGTATAAGTAATGAAATTTGTGTGTATAAATGTAATAGATACATCAAAGCATCGCCTGGATTTTATTATTTTTCATCTCTCTTAATCAGGGCTGTTTTGGATAGTGTGATCAAAGCTGTTATATTATCTTTTTTTTTAAAAGAATTTATTTTTTTTGTTGTTGTTATTTTTGTGTGTGTGTACTGTCAAATCAGATCTGATTGGTACAGTAGGAGATTGCCCCTCCTTCTCAAGCAGAGCATCTGGTGGATTCGAACCATCGCCGCTGGGATTCCAGTGCAGCTTCTTGCCACTAGGCCACCAGAGCTCCCTAAAAGCTATTATATTCTCTTAAGTAAAGAAAAAAAAAAGAGATACTATTGCCTCCAGAAACCCTATGAACCTGGAGAAAGGATGAAAGTTACACATGTGTTCAGGTCTTTCATTCATGGGGTCGCAGTGAGTTGCCTACGACTCGATGGCACTTAACAACAACATTTCCTCATATGACTGAAGAGTTTAGAGGGTACATGATTTTAGGCATAGATGAATTCATATGCTTAAAGTATATTTTCTGAATCTTACTTCATCTTCGTTTTTATGCTCTTTCTCTTTGTTGAATCAGACATGAGCTAGCTCTCTGTGTGTCAGGAAATAGGGCCACCTTCTGCTCGAGGCTTTTGTAAGTCTGGTAACTCATAAGCACAGAAAGTGAAAGAAAGATTTTATCTCTTTCAGGTTTTCTTTCTTTAATTTTAGATAAGACTGATTGTCCTGGTTTGAGTTCTGTGCTCATTGCTTTTAAAAACTCTATAGGGATGGATTTTTGGATTGGCTGAGAATGCCAAGTGTAGTTCTATAGAGGTGAGGTCCACTTGATGAATCACAGGTGAGGCCCGATTCAAAAGATAACCTATAAAAAACCTAATAACCAAAGGATAACCTATAGGAAAAAAAGATAACCTATCAGAAAAAAATGAGAAAAGGTGCTGGCAGGGAAAATCAGAAATAGATATTTATTTCTTATAGTTTAACAACGTTTTGTAATTACAAATTACAAAATATTATAGAATTTAAGGGTTTTACCTTAAGTATCATTCTGAGGACATGACATTAAATTCTCTAGAATCCCATAAATTTTTTTAGATTATGTCTTGGTTTAATTGCCAGTTTTCTTCATTGCTGTCACATTGTCTTTGCAGTGGGGCCAAGGAATGCTTAACATTTTCACTTTGGACAATCTCATGCACTCTTGTTTTGGCAATTTAAATACCTCTGCTTTCCCTTCTGGTGGCCTGGTGTTAAGGAGTTGTGCTGCCAACCCCACAGGCAAGCAGTGTCAATCCACCAGCTACCTCAGGGGTGAAAGCTGGGCAGTCTCCTCCCACGTGATGTGCAGCCTCTGGAGTCCTGCTGGAGGGTCAGCTGGGCGTCGGCTGGGGTGTGATGGCACGCAGCAACGCCATCAAAACAGTAATTGAAAATAGCCCCCTTCGCACTTCTCAGCAAGCAGACTTTTCTTTTTCTTTTGGTTCCTTTTCTTATTTCCTCCCCCACAATACCCATTTTAGGGTCCTGGAGAGCACAATTTGAAAACACTGGATTGGATGAAAATACAGACAAATGTAGGAGCATAAGTGTCAAAATCATAGCATACTTTTACTTAGACATGCTTTACCTTATTTAACATAAACCCCTTCTAGAAAGACTACTTAGCCATTTTACGAATAATTCTCGATATTCTTTAACTTTTTGTAGAATAAAAGAGAATGTATTTCCTTCCTCTTTTCAGGATAGAACAAGGTTCAGATTTGTTGTTCATAGTGTCACTATTTTTCATATATAGTAAAAAAAATTTAAATTTGTAGATTTAGTCGATAAGGGACTTTAATGGAGGTGTAAATTTTACTTTTAAGTTCTGTGGTATCATAGTGCCATTACCTAAAGAATGCTTAAAAAGTACTTCTTTTAATTCTTATACTGAGAGAAGCCAGTCTAAGAGGGGTAGGTGGAGCACAGGCGTGAAGATGGGTGGCAGGTATAATTATGCGGTCTGTCGAAGTTTGATAGGTGGAGGGAGAGATGGGTTAAGGAAGTAGGAAGGATCCAGTGTGGAAAAACAAGTATATGAACTTTGTAAGTAAAGCAGTATAAAAGAAAAAGTTTATATTTACAGAAAAAAATGTAATCTCAATGCATCTTCAAGTAACTTGCCTTATCTGAAGAACTGAGCTCACCTAGAACTGAAGTGAAGAAACAGCTTTGGAAACAGGACTTAACTCAGATATTGATAATTTCCTAGATGCTACGGAATTTTTTTATTTCTATGATGTAGTGAGTGAAATACTCAGCTGCTAACCAGAAGTTCAGTAGTTCAAACCCACCAGCTGCTTTGTGCATGAAGCATATGGTTGTCTGCTTCCATAAAGATGTACAGTTTGGAAACTCTTAAAAAGACTGCCAAAAGAACAAACAGATATGTCTTGGAGAAGGTGCAGCCAAGAGTGTTCCGTGTAACAAAGATGATGAACCTTTTTCTCACAGACTTTGGGTATGTTGCTAGGAGAGGTTATTCCTTGGAGTGGGACATCATGTTTGGAAAAGTGGAGGGACAGCAAAGGAGAGGAAATCTCCCAGCCAGGTGGATTGACACAATGACTGCAGCAGTGGGCTTGAGGGTGTCAGAGATTGTGAGAATGGTACAGGATAGGACAGGGTTCAGATCTGTTTTATATGGGGTTGCCATGAGTTGTGCTTGATGCCCCCTGACAATAACACTCTTACAGGGTCATCAACTCACTGGCAGTGTGTTAGGGGTTTATTTTCAGTACCAAGGTTAATTTTTTGAAACAACGATTTTTGCCTCTAGGTTTAATCAGGTGAGCATTTATCAGCAGAGATGACTTGATACCCTTTTACTTGCATTTCTTAGGCTTTTCATTCATACCCCAAATGAGAGAACAGAATAGTGAACCCCATTTTAGTCATTATCTAGCTTCAGCAATCATCAGCATTTTGACAGTTTTTACTTTACCTCCCACCTACGCAAGAACATTTTTTAGTGAATTGCAGATACCGTTTCACTCAAAATACTCCGACATTCATCTCTGAGGTCTTAACCATAAGTACTATATGACATTGTCACAACAAACATAATCACTAATTTTATCATATACTTGGTCTATGTTTACTTTTCTCCTGTGGCTTCAGAAATTCTCTTTTTACTTTGTCGTCGTTGTGCTTTTGAGTAGAAACTGACTCATAGTGAGCCACTGGAATGAGTTTTCAGAGGCAGTAAATTGCATGGGAGGAGGTTGCCCTTCCTTCTCCTGCGAAGCAGCTGGTGGATTTGAACCATGTGCCTTTGGGATTGCAACGCAGCTTCCTACTACTTGACTACAGACTTCCTTCTTTGTGCTTTAGGCTTATTGAAATTGGAATCCAAACAAATGTAATATTTAGTTTCTATTATTTAAAAATGCAGTGCAGCTTATTACTGCTAGGCCACCAGAGCTCCCTACCATTAATTACAGTTGGTTAATATAATTAATTACAAAGTCTGATTAACTCCTTATTGCTTCACCAAACTTTCTAGTTAATTAATTTTTAGTCTTCTCTTCCTTTCCCTTTCACATCCTGGTAACCATCCAAGAATGAGTCTGTCTGTGTTTAAACCTTTCCTTAGCTTTTTATAGTAGTGGTCTTATACCATAATTGACCTTTTGTGATGGACTTACATCACTCATTATAATTTCCTTTAGATTCATCCATGTTGTTCAGCATTTCACAAGTTCTTTATCTTATTTTAGTGATGGATAATATACTCCATTGTGTGAATATGCTGCAGTTTCTTTAGCCATTCATCCATTGATGTTCTCTTGGATTATTTCCAACTCTTTGCTAGTGTAAATAATTTGCAGGAAATGGGCATGTGTATAGCACCCATGGGTATGTAGACCAGTGGAATAGAATTGAGAACAGAGAAATAAATTCATCCACTTAGGGACAGTTGATCTTTGACAGTGATGAAATCCAGTAAGTAGGGAGAATATAGCCTCTTTCACAGATCATCCCGACCGAGCAGGATATCTGTTTGCAGAAAACGAAACCAAGATCCATACCTCAAATCACATATAAAAACTAACTCAAGGTGAACGAAGGACTTGGTTGTAAAACCTAAAACTATAAAGATCATCAAAGAAAAACAAAAAATTTAGGAGAGCTGGTGGCCTGGTGGTAAGGAGTTGCATTACCAATCTAGAAGCAGATAGTTCAAATCTCCAGCTGTGTCATAGGACAAACGTGGGCATACTTTTCCTGTACCAATTGCAGCCCCTGAAAACCTGCTGGAGGGTCACCTATGAGTTGATTCTGATTTGATAGCACATAGCAGCAATAACAATCTATGGCATAAATAGATTATCAAATATAACTGAAAATGCACAGTCAGCAGAGAATAAACTAGGTGATTTGTTGTTCTTGTTACATGCGATTGAGTCAATCATGGCTCACAGTGACACTATGAACAATAGTCTGGAACCTTACGTTATTCTTGTGCCATCCTCATCATCTCTGCCATGCTGAGCCCTTTGTTACAGCTGTGTCAGCCTTATCTTGTTGAGGGTCTCCCTCTCTTTCACAAACCCTGTGCCTTTCTCAGTTTGACGTCTTTTTCCAAGGACTGGCCCCTTCTGATAACATGCCCAAAGTATGTGAGACAAAGTTTCACCATGCTTGCCTCTAAGGAGTACTCTGGTTACATTTCCTCCAGGACAGATTTGTTTTGTATTTTTGACATTCTGTAGGTTCTTCAATACTCTTTTCCAACACCATAATTCAGAGCTATCTATTCTGCCATACTTATTTATTGTCTAACTTTCAGAGGCATAGAAAGCAACGGAAAATACTGTGGCTTGAATCTGTCATACCTTAGTCTTTTAACTGATAAACTTGTTCTTTAACACTAGGTGATTGGGGCCTCCTAAATATTAAAATCTTATTTTTTCAAAAGATTTCTCTGAAAGGATAAAAAGACTGCACAAACTGTTGTTGTCAGATGCCATCAAGTAGAGTACTGCACATTGTGACTCTGTGAACACCAGATCTGAACTCTGTCCTGTCCTGTGCCATCCTCCACTTCCTGACATACAAGATCTCATTGCAGCAGTTAATGTGTCAGTCCACCTGATTGAGGATCTTCCTCTCTTTTGCTGACCCTCCACCTTTCCACCCGTGATGTTTCTGTCCAAGTAATAGCCATATCCTAGCAATGCCCGAAGTATGTGAGACCAAGCTTCAACATCTTTGTCTCCAAAAATCACTCTGCATTTTCCCCAAGAAGTATACAAGCTAAGAAAATACATTTGGTGATGACAATCTGACAAGATACTTTAGTTCTGAAATCTATATAAATTTATAATGTTTTTGTTGTTGTTATGGGCCTGCGACTCATAGCGACTCCATGTACAACAGCCCTAAACCCTTCTCTATCCTGTGCCAGTGTCACTGTGTCTGACATATCTATCCCCGTTACCCCAGTCACTGAATCAGTCCACCTCATAGAGGGTCTTCCTCTCCTGTGCTGTCCCTCATCCTCCCAAGCGTGACGTCCTTCTCCAAGGACTGGTCCCTCCTTGCAACATGTTCAAAGTATGTCAGATGAAACTTCAGAATCTTTGTCTCCAAGGAGCAGCCTGGTTTAATCCTCTCTATGATGAACCTGTTCGTTTTCTTAGCAGTCCATGATATATTAAATATTCTTTTCCAACACCACAGCTCAAAGGCATCAATTCTCTTTCTATCCTTCCTAGTCATTATCTGACTCTCTGACGCATAGCAAGCGATTGCTAAGACCATGGTCTGTATCAGGCTCACCTTAGTCTCGAGAGTGACAACATTGCTCTTCCTAATATAAGTCCCTAATATAAGTTTATAATACTTCATCAAGAAAAAGACAGCCCAATGACAAAAGAAATAGAGGATGTAAAAAGGTACTTCACCAAAGAAGACATTAAGATGACCACAAACACATAAAGAATGCTCAAGATTATTAGCTATTAGGGAAGTGCACATTAAAACAACCCATCTCAAGTTCTGACTCTGACAGTAATAGTAAAGTTACATAAAACAGCAAACATCAAATGCTGATGAAGGTATGGAACTCTTTCTATATATACTCCTGGTGGGACTATAAAATGGGGAAATCACTATGTAAAATGGTTTAGTGCTTCCTTAGGAAGTTGGAAATATAAATACCATTTAATCTAAAAATTCTGCTGCTATGGGGGGGAATGTGTGTGTGTATCTCCATCTATATCTATCTGTCTGTCTGTCTATCTATCTACAACCCTCTAAAGAAATCAGAGCTGGTTATTATTGTTATATATCTGTATATCACAGAAATTAGAGCTGGTTGTTACAGTAAATAAAATATCTCTTACTTGAGGGGAGCTCTGGTGGCCTAGTGGCAAGGAGCTGCAACTACAATCCCAGAGGCACACGGTTCGAATCCACCAGATGCTCTGCCGGGAAAAGGAGGGACAATCTCCTCCTGTACCAGTCAGATCTGATTTGATGGTACACTCACACACAAAAAAATAATAATAAAAAAAGATCTCTTACTTGATCAAATTTCCCTGCTATACCTTTTTTAAATAGTATCACTTTATTAGGGAAGTAAATTTGCCTTGTGAAGTACCATACATTGTGGAATTGGTCAGTTTCTTCTGTACAGTATTGTTTAACTTGCTTTTCTTATATTTTTTGCCAAATCCATTTATATATAAATGCTATCTTTTTATATTTTGAATTATAATACTATAACGTTAGCCCAGTTTGTAGATTTAAGGTTTGCATTATCGATGTTGTTCTGTGCCGTTGTTGGTAACTCATAGCAACCCTATGTACAATAGCTATGAATGATGCTTTACCCTGAGCCAGTCTTTCTATCTCTGACACACCTACCCTCATTACCCTGGTTATTGTGTCCGTTCATCTCATCTGGGGCCTTGCTCTCCTGTGCTGTCCTTCAACCTTTCTAAGCATGATGTCCTCCTCCAAAGACTAGCCCTTCCTGGCTACATGACCAAAGTATGTGAGACAGAGTCTCAAAATTCTTGCCTCCAAGGAGCAGCTTGTTTCACTCTCTCCAGGATAGATTTGTTCTCCTAGCGGTCCATAGTATGTTCAAAACTCTTCTCCAGCACCAAAACTCAAAGGCATCCATTCTTTTGTCATCCTTGGTCATTGTCCAGCTCTCTAATGAATAGCAGGTAATTGTGAAGACCATGGTCTGGATCAGGCATGCTTTAGTTTCTAGACTGATGATTGCTTTACAGCATTCTAGAGAGGTCCCTCACAGCACACCTTCCCAGTGCAATTCATCTTTTGATTTTCTTACTGCTGGTGCCTACAGTGTTGATTTTTGAACAACCAAGCAAACTGAAATTAACAATCTCAATCTCTTCTCCATCTGTCACGATACTGCCAATTGACCCAGTGGTAAGAATCTTTGTTTTCTTGATGTTGAGCTTCAATCCATATTAAAGGCTGCAGTCCTTGACCTTCTGCAGCAAGCACATTAGGCTCGCATCAGTTTCAGCAAGCAAGGTTGTGTCATCATTTGCATAATGCAGGTTATTGATGAGTTTTCCTCCAATCCTAATACCACATTAGGGAATTTTGAAAAGAAACATTTTTAGGATTGGATAACAACAGTTTATAAAATTGGCTAATTTACATTACCTATTATACTTACTCTTCATGTATCAAATTTTTTATTTTCACCAAATTTTGTTATCTATCATTTTGCATTTAGGACAGTAGTTAAAAAATCTCCTTAAGTCACTCTAAATAAAGTAAGGTAAGCTTTGAGGAAGTGTATGTCTCCTTGCTAAGCTCCATTTTTTTGACTCCTTTCCATCCTACCCCTCTCCTGAGTCTTGACTATAAATAATGTCAAAAGAGAGAGCATGAAAAAAAGACTGGATGCCAAGACTCCAGATCATTAACCTGCATAGAAGACTCCCCCTCACCACTGGTATATAACTAGCAGGGCTGCAGGCGAGGGGCTGTCCATCAGGGGGTTTCTGACTGGGTGAGAAAGTAGGTAATATTGGACTCAGATTTCACTGGACACCGTGAGACCTGCCATTTGCACACTTGAGGGGTCCTGGGGTCTGTAGGTGGGGTGACCAGGTGGGTAGCCGTTCCAGTGGAGAACAAGAATTCCGTGTGGTTAAAGTAGTCAGGAAATATAGAAACACAGCACAAGAAATGAAGAAGTTGCTGTAGGGAGAGAGCGCCCTCACTGGGCTGCTTCTGAAATGACTTGTGGAATTTGAGGAATAGTGGATTGGAAAGTCTCATATTAGGCTGCAGATGTAACCATTTCTCCAAGTAAGGAGTTGAGTATGCTCCTTTTAGGTGCTAAGTAAATAATGTTTCCAAACCAATCAACTAAAGCAATAATTACTTAGTTGGCTACTTAGTACTCAGACGAAAAGCCTGGTTAGCCTTAGAGGACCTTTGTAGATGGAGATGCTGATCTAAGGTATGTCCCATTACTTTAATCCTAACTTCATGGCACTGTGTTATTACTAGGAATTGGATGTGTTGGAACAGTAAAAAGCTTAGTAAGAAAGGAAGAATTGTTTGTGATAATGAAACTTTCCCTCATTCAGTAGTATGTTTTTTTAATTTATCTTTTTTGTCTTTCTCAAATAGCTCTGGGATTTGAATCAAAAAGGATGTCGAAATACTTTATTTGGGCACACAAATTCAGTCAATCATTGCAGATTTTCACCAGATGATAAGCTTTTGGCCAGTTGTTCAGCTGATGGAACATTAAAGGTATGTCATTTTACACCATTAAATGAAAATAGACACTGCAATCCCAGAGGCGCATGGTTCGAATCCACCAGGTGCTCTTCTGGAGAAGGAGGGACAAGCTCCTCCTGTACCAGTCAGATCAGATTTGATGGTACACACACACAAAACAATCAAAATTAAAAAAGAAAAGGAAATAGATTGTAATTAAATGGAAAAGTCTTTGATTTGGTTATGGATTTATATATTTTTCACATTTCTTTAGAAAGCGTTTCTTCTTTCCACTTACAGTAAAATATCTAGTATAACATGAATTGCTTATCATGATTGTTTATGAATAGCTTTAAAACTTAATAAAGTTAATATAATTTGAATTCCTAAATTTTGAGCATTATGCATTCTATGAAATGAGTCCCGATTTCTTTATTGTTTCTATCTTTACGATTATCTGTCATTCTAGTGTCCTATTTGTTGGCTCTTTTCTTCCCCTTTTAGTCTTAAGTTGAATCTGTCTTTGACTTCTTTGTCTTTAGGTCTCCAGTTTTCTCTCCTTTTCTATGGTATAATGACAGCTCAGACTCCTCTTACATTATAGCAGCCTTCTGAGATGTACTCTCTACCTTTCTTCATGCCAGCATAGAGCTACTAGAAGACTCTTACTCCATTTTCATCTTGTCACTTTTAACTGGAGTACAAATAATACCTTATAATTGTATTAAACCCTGACTTTTCAGACTCTTACCTGTGACTGGGTCTTCTCTCACTCTGTCACCTACTTGTCTGTCTAGCTTTTTTCTTTTCTCACCTGCTGCCGTTGAATTGATTCTAAATCATAGTGGCCTGAGAAGAGTTCTCAAGAGTTATTTCTTCTAAAGCTCATAAATTAATTTTTCTGGAAGTGTAGCATTTGGTGCTTATTTTAGCCCTTATATATGTTTCATTGTTGTGGTGGTGGTGTACTATAGAGTTGGAACTGACCCGTAGCTGACCCTCCGGCGGGTTTTCAGAGACAGTTAATGGCTCGGGAGGAGACTGCCCATCCTGCTCTCACGGAGCAGCTGGTAGCCTTGAACTGTATGCCTTCGGGATTGCAGCTCAGCTTTTTGCCACTGGGCCACCCCTCTAATATTTTTGCTGTATTTTTTTTATTGATCTTCAAAACTTTAATCAAACCTTATTCAGAAGTTGCTTTCTTGTAACATCCAGTTGTTTCTCAGCACACAAGCACACACACACACACACACTCTCCGTGTATCTGTCTTAGCATATCTATTAAAGTTCACTTGTCATTGCATTGTACTAGTCAGGCATTTCATCTATCTTCCCTTTCTTTGATAAGGTTGAGTATATATAGGTTTATGATGTGCAGACCTTGATACTTTGTGTTTTATTTTTCTCTGAAGTTCATCATACAGTACTGTACCCAAGCCATGCACTGAATACATTTTCTAGATGTATAAGTTATACAGGAAAAAACTTGGCAGCCTTCTGGGCAATGATTTGCTTCTTAGAATCTTTAGAGGAGATTTGCTACGGCTTCTAGATGACTTTTGAGGTAGTTGTGGTAAACTGCTTGATGCTGATCTCCTGGTTTGATCTCTCTTTGCTGAGAATAACTCATTTTTGTTGAAATAGCTTTAGGATGTTTAGGAACTCTTTCTGGGTAGGATTCTGTTTTGTAGTATTTAGCTAACTGTTTTGCTATTAGATGCTGGGAACATTCTTTAATGTTCATGTAAATAGATTGGAGCCTCTGTGACATACTTCCTACAGATGTATTGAATTACCTACAGATGTCAGTGTTTTCCTGTTCCTCTAGGATAATCAGTACCATCAAAGCTTTTGCAGACCCACAAGTGGATAAGATGACCCTGTTTTCAGGGTTTCCTTCAGTCCTGCGAGCCTTCTTGGTTTTACTGAGTGAAGGATCTCAGGAGAAGCCTTTTTTTTTTTAAATTTTATTTTATTAGTTTTAATGAACGTTTACAGAGATTTTGTATTTTCATTTATTCATTGTTGCACTTTTCTCTCTGCCCACTCCTCCTCCCCAGTTCATGCTTCTCTTTGAAAAGAAAAAGAAAAATTCTTTCATTTTTATACAATCCCTGTGCCCCCCCCGCCCCCCCCCATCTAGCCTTCATTCTGGACTCTTGTCATAACCATAACACCCAATCATATATTGCTTTTAAACCGTTCTCTCTCTCATCTGTTTTAATGCAGTATACATCATTTATCCAGTTTTTCTCAGTCTGATCCCAACCCTGATGTCAGTCCTGTTTTACAGCAGTGGCACTATGTGTATTTGTCCTTTTGTGACTGAGATATTTCACTCAGCATAATGTCCTCCAAGGCCACCCATTTTGAATAATATTGCATGAGTTCTTTGTTTTTCAATGCAGCATAGTATTCCATTGTGTGAATATACCACAGCTAGGAGAAGCCATTTCTTATCTCAAGTGACATTCTCTTTCCATCTTACCTCCATTGCCAATTGCAAATTCTGGGAAGATTCTCTTCTAGTCTTATTCTATCTTTATTAGCTTGTAAGGTGTTCAGAAAGTTCGAAATGAGACCATTTCTCTGTTACACTACAAATTTATGTTGTGTACTCAAGTGCACTCAAGTCTTTGCAGCTGAATTCTACTTCTGTTCATATTCAGTTCATTTTCTCTGTAGTGCCTGTTCCATACCTTTTCTGCTGTCTTAAGCCCCAATTTGTCACTGCCTCCCCATTCTTTTTATGGAGCTGACTTGACTTCCTATCTTTTCAAGGATTGAGCTTTCTGCCATGTTGTTATGTGCCATCAAGTTGAATATAACTCATAGTGACTCTGTGAACAGCAGATTGGAATTTTGTGTCCTCTTGCACCATCCTCACAACCTCTGACAAGCTCAGGCTGCCCATGATTGCAGTCATTGTGACAGTCTGTTTTGTTAAGGCTCTTACTGTCTTTTGCTGATGCTCCCCACTCCCAGCATGGCGTCTTCCAAACCCTGGCCCCTCCTGACAACATGGCAAGACTGAGTTTCACTTTCTTTGACTCTCAGGGGCAACCTGGTTACATATCCCTCAAGACAGACTTGTCTGTTCCTCTGGCAGTCCATAGGCTGTCCCATAGTCTTCACTAACACCACAATTCTTCTGTCACCTTATTCATAGTCTAACTTTCAGATGCATACAAAGTAACTGAAAATGCCATGGCTTGGATCAGGTGCCCTTTAGTCTTTAAACAGACATCCTTACTCTGAGCAGTTGCTTAAGATCTTGGCAGCAGATTTTCCCAGGGCAGCACATCTTTTGATTTCTTGACTCCTGCTGCCATAGGTCTTATTGTATATTCAAGTAAAATGAAATAGTTTGTAACTTTTCTTGTGGCCTACATACGCCAGCTACTCCTTGGGAAAAAAGATGGACAGTCTCTTCCCTTGGGATTTACAGCCTCTGAAAACCTGCAGAAGAGTCAGCTATAAGTTGATTCTGACTAAACAGCCGTGAGTTTGAATTTTATTATGATATTGCCTCTTGGCCCACTAGTGAAGATTTTTGCTTTTTTAATGTTGAGATTTAATACCTATTGATGGCTATAGTCTTTGATGTTTTGTAGTAAATGTCTCAAGTCTTCTTCACTTTCTACAAGCAAGGTTGTATCATCTGTGTAGTATCTGTGTAATGCAACACTTGGTGAGTCTTCCTTCAATCCTCACGCCACGTTCTTCTTCAAATAGTCCAGCTTCTTGAATTATTTGAATGGAGATATATCCCTGAAGCACACCTTTCTTAATATTAAATCATGCAGTGTCCCTTTGTTCTGTTTGGACACCCACTACTTGGCCTAAGTATAAATTTTGTACAAGCACAATTAAATGTTCTGAAATTCTCATTCTTCTCAGTATTATCCAGACTTTGTTATCCATATAGTCAAATGCCTTTTCATGGTTATAAAACACAAACGTCTTGTATGCTCTGTTTTCATCCAAAATCTCTGTGACACTAGTGGTGATATCTCTTGTTCCATAGTCTCTTTTGCATCTGGTTGAATTTCTGGCAGTTCCCTTTCAATGTTCTGTTCCAGGAATTTTTGGATAATCTTCAGTAAGATTTTACTTCCATAAGCCGCCTACCAGTTGCTGTAAAAAGTCCAATTTTTTTGGCTCTCTCCCCCTTTTTTTTTAATCTCAGCTCCTAAAAGTCTCCACTTTTTTTTCAACTGTTGAGCTTTTCAACTGTTTTATTTCCTTTTCTTCTTGGGACTTTGATTCATTCATTATTTCCTCTTCATATCTTTAACTTTTTTTAATATAATGATAGAATTTTGTACAATCTACTTTTTTATAGGAAACATAAAAAAAATAAAAAAAAAGAAACAAACTGTGACTATGCACATGGACTTCACCTGATGGTACACGCAGAAGTCAGATTGACAACATCTGTGTAAAGAATTTCTGAGGAAGCTAAAGATCAGCTGTGAAAACAAGGACAGGTGCTTATAGTGGAACAGACCATCAACTAACTACTCATATGCAAGTGAAACTAAAGCTAAGATAATGAAATCAAATCCACAAGAACCAAAATTTGACCTTGGGTTTATTCCACCGAAACTTAAAAATCACCTCTGGAACAGTTTTGAGACCTTGAACACTAATGAGCAAAGACCAGATGAGCTTTGGGAGGATATTTAGAGTATCATTCGTGAAGAAAGCAAGAGGTTATTGCAAAGACAGGGGGAAGAAAAGACTGTGATGGATCTCAGTAGAGACTCAGTATTGTTCTAGAGTACCGAGAAGCCAGAGTAAAGAGAAGTAATCAGGAAGTTAAGGAGCTAAACATAAGATTTCAAAGGGCAGCTTGGGAAGACAAAGCAAAGTATTGTAATGAAATGTGCAAAGAGCAGGAGTCCCAAAACCAAAAGGCCAAACTTGCTTGGCATTGCCTAAGCTGAAAAAACTGAACTAATTCAAGCCTCAAGTTGCAGTACTTAAGGATGTTATGGGCAGAATAGTGAATGATCCAGAAAGTATTAAAA